GTATTAGTACAACTTTATAAAGCCTTAGTAAGACCAAACTTAGAATACTGCATCGAGTTTGGATCACCATATTATAAAAAAAATGTAGAGGCTCTGGAAAGAGTGCAGAAAAGAGCAACAAGGATGATTAGGGGGCTGGAGGCTAAAACATGAAGAATGGTTGCAGGAATTGGGTTTCTCTAGTAAAAGAAGGACTAGGAGTGTTATGACAGCAGTGTTCCAATATTTGAGAAAAGGATGTCAATCTATTTTCCAAAGCACCAGAAGGCAATACAAGAAATAATGGATGGAAATTAAGCAAGGTGAGAAGTTGTGGGAACAATTAACAAGTACAACAGCTTGACTTCAGAAGTTATAGGTGTTTCATCAATGGAGGTTTTAAGAAGACACTGGATAGTCACTTATCTGGAATGGTATAGGACAGTGATGGCTAACCTTTTCGTTGTCGTGTGCTGAAGGTGTGTGCGTACATGTGTGCCTGCACCCATACTGCAATACATGCGCGATCCCCCAGACCCCATGCACATGCATGCATGACCCCCCATGTGCATCTCTGTACATGCATACAACTGCTCCTCAACGCCACACACCTCTGCGCATGTGTGGCAGATACCCGACAATCAGCTGGCTGGCAGGAGGCACGCGTGCATGCACAGTGGATCTGGCACGCATTCCGGGTGATGGCTCGCGTGACAGCAGAAATGGCTCTGCATGCCACTTCCGGCACACGTGCCATAGGTTCACCATCACAGGTATAGGGTGTCCTGCTTGACCAGGGGATTGGACTAAAAGACTTCCACGGTCCCTTCCAACTCTGTTATTCTGTTCTGTTCTGCTTTCAGTCATTGGAGCATCCAATTTAACCCCATGTTTCAAATATAGGAAATTATATTTCTCAAGCTTGTTTCTATACTTTAGATAAATGTATAATTAAAAGTAGTAGTGTGATATTTAGCCTTTATATTTTAACAAACAATAAAGGATATAGTGTGTTATTAAAAAAGTAAATACCAGCCATACTGTACTGTACTGTACTCTGATATTTACTTTACCACTCTATTTCTTATATATAGAATGAATACAACATTGAGGCCTTATATCATGCCACAGTAAATGTTTACTTCTGTTGGTGCCAACTGTGTGCCTTACTATACTAGGTATGAATCTTACCTTTTTATTATAGTTTGCTCATTTTACATCTACCTCTGAAACTGTTCTGTTTCTGTTCTATATTCCAAAGACTTCTTTGTCAGAAATACCTTATATATAGATTAAAAGTTGCTGCACTCACATTTTACAAAACTAGTCTGTATGGACATCGTCTTAGTACTACTATATAAATAACTGTGCAAATAAGACATATACAATATCATGTGTATTTTATTCACAGGAACACTCATTATAGGCTGAGAATTCATCAAAATGACAAAAAGTGTGTCATGATATTGTACTGTAAGCTTCGCCCCTTACATCTGTATGTGAGACAAGTATGAAAGGGATGGAATTTGAATCATATTATAACAGATTTGTGTCATTTGCCTTCTCTTGACCTCTCCACGGGTGCCCTTCTTCTCTATTTTGTAACAGTGCTTAAAAGATTTTTTAAGTATGTCCTACTTCAGAGTGAAAATTGTGACCTTCGATAAACTGAACGTAACTTGGTATTTTAGGATCTTGAGTTATTTTAGTAATTAGAATGGTAGTATTTTAAAGGCTTTTCTACATAGGTAGTATAGAATCTATTTGAATTTTTTTTTTAACTGAGTAAGATGGCTATTGAGTTTTGATATGCATTTTATCCATTTACTAGATCAGGGGTGTCAAAGTCGCATTGTCATGGTGTCATCATGTGACTTATTGTGACTTTTTCCTTTTTGCTAAACTGGGCATGGGCATGGCCAGCATGGGACGCATCCGGCCCGTGGCCCACGAGTTTGACACCCCTGTACTAGGTCATAGCCATATTTGCATGTATTACAAGGCAGCCACCAATCACAGCTAGTAAGGGTATCCTGAGACTTTTACTATCAACAAAACTCAACACATTGTTGGAAATAAAACAATCAAAGTTTATAAATAAATAATATAAATAAAATGTAGCTTTTTCTCTAGATGTTTTTGGTCTGCTTTTACTATTTGTAAAACTTGTAGGCTTTCCTTTCAGCCAGCATCTTCAGTTACTTCCTTTTTTTCTCCTCTCTTCTTCCCAAATGCTGAGAACTGCAGGATTTTGATTTTAGTATCTGATAGAACTTTCTTATTATTGTTTTATTTTTAAAAAATAATACCAGGGGAGTCATGAATTTACATGTAAAATCTTATATGTTATTATGCATATAACTATATTTAAATAATGTGTTTTCTCCAGAAAACACACATATTTACAGAATAACAGAATAACAGTGTTGGAAGGAACCTTAGAGGTCTTCTAGTCCAACCCCCAGCTCAGACAGGAAACTCTATACCATTTCAGACAAATGGTTGTCCAATGTCTTCTTAAAAGCTTCCAAAGTTGGAATGCTTACAACTCTTGGAAGCAAATCATTCCACAGATTATTTGTTCTAACTGGAAACTGGAAATTTCTCCTTAGTTTTAGGTTGGTTCTCTCCTTGATTACTTTCCATCCATTGGCTCTTGTCCTGTCTTCAGGTGCTTTGGAGAATAGTTTGACTCTCTCTTCTTCATGGCAGCTCCTTAGATATTAGAACACTGTTATCATGTCACCCCCTAGTCTTTCTTTTCATTAAACTAGACATGCCCAATTCCTGCAACAAGAAGAACAGAGGACTAAAGGTTAAAACATATTGACAGATTGTTCTATCAATTTGTTTTAGCCTTCACTTCCCTATTCTTCTTTGTTGCTCTTCTCTGCCTTCCTGCTTTTGCTTTATAATTTTAGTAATTATAATGCTAATATAATTTTAGTGCTTTATAATTTTACCTACATTTATTTAGCGTATTTCAAATGATAAAATTTTAGCATTATAAAGCAACTCAGTAGTGCAAACCTGGTGACAAAGATCAATCCTGTTATCCCATGTAATAGATGAAAAATTATGTCTGATTTACATAGTCATTTGGAAGGCACATGTCTGGAAAAAAATATAAACTGAAGTTCACAGCCTTGCTTATTCACTGAGCTGAACCATTCCTTCATTTCAGAGCTGGCATTAGGAGATCTTAATGAAATAAAATTAAATCAGTGTTGTAAAATGTTTTGCTCAAATAGACAAATAACTGGTTTGAGGTTGCTGTGTGGATGAATATCATATGATTTGTGATTTCTAATTTTTATAAGAGAGTGAGTTTGTTATGAAACTTGATAGTTTAAAAACAGCACCAATTTTAAAAAAACATTGTTCTAGAAGCTACCTACTGTTATGACTCAGAGAAAATTTGTGTAGAAATTATGAAGAGGCAGGAAAAAAATAATAATTTTTGTGTAGAAATTATGGGGCGGCAGGGGTGTCAAATTTATGTCCTCATGATGGCGTCATGTGACATATCGTGACTTTCCCCCTTTGCTAAACTGGGTGTGGGTGTGGCCAGCATGTGACGCATCTGGCTTGCGGGGTGCGAGTTTGACAGCCCTGCTGTAAAGGGAAAGACATAATTAAGAGTCAGAATGCTTCCATTATCTTCTCAGTCTCTTCACAATCTTTTACTGGATATTAAACTTCACAAATTGACCATGGATAAATCAGCCTAGTTTCAGGCCAGGTAACATTCAGTGAATTGAATCATTTGAATGCAAGTTTCATTCATTCACATTTGGACATCATTATCATATACCACTCACCCATTGGCTAGCCTGCTATATCTTGGCAGCAAAGATCCAGATGATCATTATATGGAACCAAAAATATGTTTTTTTGCCCTCTGTTGATGGTTTAGAGTTGAACAGCTGAAGTATTGCTGTTCATCTAGAAGGAAATGATTCCTAGAAGGAAATGTTCATGGATAATCTATATCTATTATCTTGCAATTCAGAGGGATTCTGATTTGGTCTCTTAATCCAAATACCAACAGCTTTTCAAACAAACTTGCAAAAAAATTGAGCATAGATACGGAGTCATAATTGGGGCATAAAAAAACTTGTAATTAGGTTATCTATTTTTGCCTTCCTGTTGCAGCACACCAAACACACAAAATTTTTCCATTAGTATTTTTTAAAAGGCAACAATATCCTTGAGGGAGGAACAATGTGGAACTATGATATGAGTCTTACCCTTTTTTATATATGACATTATATTGCACAAATATCCAAAAGAAGATGCACAACAATATGAGTCTGTAGCAAAACTGCTGAGAGAAGTGGGATTGTTGACCAGATTCTCAGTCAGGCTAAGAGAACATAAACCAGTTACTTATATTCAAGTTGGATAGCAGAGAGAGGCATGCAGATTTTGATGGATGTCATTACACTGTGTCAAATTGGGAAGCCTTGACTCTAGTTCTCTTAAGACAAAAGTCTCAGTTTGTTGCTGGAATGGATCTAATCTGCAAGTTAGGTGGTCTCAGTTATTGTTTAATATGTATCTGTTTTTGGAAGCATTTAAAATTTGCCATTAATGCCCACTAATATATGTATGTATATTTCAATTAGCATTGGTCATGGATCAATATTCAGAAATCTTTTTGTGTTTGTGTATATTTGTGCCAGCTTCATACCTGTTGTATTTGCCAAGAAGTTAAGAAATTCAGGCTCAAACTACTCTGTAGTTTACAGAGGAACTATAAAAAAATAAAAGTATAAACTTACTCTGAAGTTGTTGTTGTTTTTGCATTAACAAATTAAAATATTTAATATCTTGTGGTATAGTTGCAGGAATAATCTTCAGGGGATCTAAAATATAGGGGCACATTTATGAAAAAAGTTACATTTTTTTCTTCTTTTTTAATTTAAAAAAGTATTTTAGGGATGAGTAAAGTATTAATAATGTTAACATATATTAAAACCACATCATGTTTATATTTTCTCTTAATCCTTATAATATAGACATGGGATCCAGAGTTGGAAAGATCAGCTCAGTCCTGGGCTGAGACATGTCTTTGGGAACATGGACCTGCAGGTCTTCTTCCATCCATTGGTCAGAATTTGGGAGCACATTGGGGAAGGTAAAAAAACACCCCATCATGCCACTCTTAGTTTAAAAGTGAAAAAAAAAAACATTGTTCCTTTTGATAATATATACCTGAATGATTTGGCAATTTCTTCTTATTTTTTATAGATATAGACCTCTAACATTTCATGTCCAATCATGGTATGATGAAGTGAGAGACTTTACTTACCCATATCCTCAAGAGTGCAATCCTTATTGCCCCTATAGATGTTCTGGTCCTGTATGTACTCATTATACTCAGGTGAGTGTGGCTTAAAAAAAACGTTTGAATTCATCACTTTATGTTGGAATGGTAGAATCAAGAGATAAATGATAGGAAATATGTAAGTTACATGGAAGTTGTATCTGTGTTTAAAAATATTTTCCCATTTTTTTAAAAAATAGTTTGTATTATCTATTCTTTATTTCTATATGTTACCATTGCAGATAACCTTTTTCTAAGAACACATTTTGATATGAATTTTGTGGAATATATCAGGATATTTATGTACTAGTATTTTGGTTGATGAATGAACTGATTAATTTACAGACTGGGTTATTTTCTGAAATGAACCAATTAGCCCTTGGATAAAGCTTAGATATTTGTTTGTGTGCTTGGACCAAAATACAAATTTAACAATTTTGCTAAAGAAAACTGACTTAGTTCTAAAGTTACTCACACAATAGATGTTTCTCATCCCTAACTAAATCTGATTAACAATGTAATATTCATATTAAACAATATTCATATGTACCAAAAGCAATAATAATTTAAAATGGAATTAATATTATTAAAACATGTATTTTAAGTAAAATTATTTATTTTTCAAATGTATAATTTCTTCCATTTTAATAATAAAAGTTTTCCTGATTTAGGAACTGCCTTACTTAGAAACTGTTTACAGTTGTAAGAGTGATAAAAAAGTAACTTTACGATCAGTCTTCACATTTATGTTTGGTGTTTGATTATATTAGTGGGTATTAATGGAGATCATTATATTAAACTTGTTTTCTCTTTTTGAAATAACAATATAAGTATTCCAACATTTATCTATTACATCCAATTTGAATCCTTTTTATATAGTATAAATATATATTATTATAAATAGATTTATTTATACCCTCATTTATATTTAAACAGATCCCCTTTCATCTCTTCAAATAGTAAAAGTCCAGTTCCTGTCCAAAAGCAATTAAACATTATCCGAAATAGCCATCATTCCCAGTCCCAATCAGAAAATAATTAAACACCTCCAGAAATAGAAACTCATTAATTTACCCATGAATAAATAAATGTATTTTGTATTCTTCCAATGATGATTTGTTATACTCTCATTGTCTATTCTCTTACAATTGTTGTCATCTTTGTCAGGCCCCTTTTGTAATTTTGCAACCCCAGCAAATCCTGTTTGTAAATTGAATATAAAATATTTATCCACTTCACTTTTCTAATTTATTATTTGTATTTATTTATTTTTTAATTCTTAAATCTTCATTTAATTTCATTTGTAAATACATTATTTTCTTTTCTTGGTTGCAATCTATAATTTTTAAATCCACCTGTAAGTCAGTTTCAATTTTATTCAATTATGCCTATTCCTGTTCAATAATACCTGATTGTATAATAGATTTAAATGCTGAAAGACTTCCTGTACCCAAACATCAAACATTTTGAAACCTATCGGTTTCAAAATATAAACAAAATTATTTTCCCATGAGAAAGGTTTCTTTCAATTATTTTCAAACTTTTCAACCAAGTCCATCTGAGCCCTTAATCCATTTAAAGCTTTCTAAAGCCAACAATAATCATAATTTTGCTGTATATTCCAAAATCTTTTATTATAGATATTTAAGCTTGTAGTTGAATATTTTTTAAAAAATTAACGAAATTCACCCACTGTTTTCAATAATGCTTGCCAATCTGAAGATATAAGGGAATGCATGTATAACCTTAAGGAAAGGGAAGAGCAGATACTGCCTAGGAAGCCATCGGATAAGAGGAGGCAGGAGGCTACAGTCATTTAATAGTCAAAGAAAAAAAACATAAGAAGGAACTGTCCTAATAGATCTAACAATTAAAAGTAACCGGTGGAAAATTTGTACTTTCAGAGTTGTAGGATTCTGATAATGTAGCCTTACAGCAAAGAAGATTTAGCTCATCTAGTTGTGTTTCCTGTCTGTTTACTTAGGAAAGTCAACATAACGTTATCAATCTTTAAAAACCAAACAGTAAATGGAAAAAATTAAATTCAAAGTTATTAAGAGATGATCCTTCGTGGAAGTCCATGTAGGTGACATTAGTGGCTATAAGCACAATGAAATCCATGACTCCAGCCAATTACTAAGGTAGCTCACCACAAAAATCCAGTTTATGCCCTTAACTGGTAAAACGCAGTTGTGCAGAATTCATGTGGGTAATCTTGTTACACTGGACAGATTTCAGTAGCCCAATTTTGAGGGAAATTTTCAGGTGCAATGTGTTCCTTTTTTTCCAAAGGAATATTAGTTTTCTATGGCAGCTCATCAGAATTCAAATTTGGCTAAAGTTTTAAAACTTTTCCTTTTTCCCTCCAGGTGGTATGGGCAACAAGTAACCGAGTAGGCTGTGCAGTCAACCTGTGTCATAATATGAATGTATGGGGACAGATATGGCCAAAAGCAATTTACTTAGTATGCAATTATTCACCCAAGTAAGTATTATGGTACAAGATGTTTAACATAAAAGCATATCTAACTCCCGACTGCCACTATTTAATAAAATTATTTAGGATTGTGTTTTGCTTTAGATTGGAATCATGATAGGAAATCAGTATTTAAACCTTTTGCTTGGAACAGACCTAGAATTGGCCATAGAATATGTAATTATCTTGAAATATAAACTGTAAAAAATACAAAATGATTTTGTTGATGCATTTCTGCGCTGGTTTCTGCTTTCTGCACAGTATCTCCTGAAGCCTGCTTCAGGAACTCTTAACACAGAGTAATGCTAGATATTTTGAATTTTCAGAATGCTAGCCAATATAAATCAGTATAAACCAGAGCACAATATTCAGAGCATTCATTGTAATCTGTAAAGCTAGAAGATAATAATAGAAGATAATTGACTGGCTACTGTTCAAATAAATTTGATACTTACATTCAGTGACATGCTGGTCTTCAAATAGTATATTCAAAACAATCCAATATTCTTTTTATTTTATTCTAAAATGAGCACAGTAAACCTGCATTGTATCAATGGAATTATACATTGTGCTCAGTTAACGACTGCTTCATTCAGTGACTATTCAGTCTGACAATGATTATGTAGATTTATGACCTCAGTCGTCAAACATTCAGCTATTGCAGTCTCTAGGAAAAGCAGAGGAAGCGCTAAGTTGCAAAAAAAAAAAGCTTGCATTCACATTGAAGGGATGTCAGAATGAAAGTCTAAACTAAAATGATGGGTAGCAGTTTATACCCATATTTCAATCATATGCTTCCCTTTTGTCCTGTTGCATGCTGCTTTTAGCTTGTTGAACAAGTCTTTCCAAATTGCATCTCAGCAAACTTTCTTATCTTTCACCATCCCACTTTTTCTTCCCTTGTAAATCGATTGCTGAATAAACCCTGGCAGAAGTCTGCTGCCAAGCCAGAATAAGGATAAGTGAATGAATGAACCACTAGCTTGCCTTCCTCAAGGCTCTTTCTTGAGAACAACTGATACCAATTCATACTAGGCTGCAAGAAGAAATTCCAACCATAGAAAAAATAAATAGTATGCAGTCTGAGATGATATTGTTTATATCATTCATTTAGGCTGTCCTTCTATGCCTCAGAGGCAGAGGTGTGACAAATCAACAGGAATAGTGCTTCTCATGGCACTATGGATCAGGCACTTCATTCATTTCATTATATCACTTTGTTTTTTATTCTTAGGGGCAATTGGTGGGGACATGCCCCATACAAACACGGCCGTCCATGTTCTGAATGTCCCCCAAGTTTTGGGGGAGGCTGCAGAGAAAATCTTTGTTATAAAGGTATGTAATCAGAAAAAGAATGTGTTTTCTGCCAGGTATGTCATTCTGCTGATCCTTTAGGAGGCAAGCAGTTGTTTTCTGATTTTATAATGAAACTTAGGTATTATATAGGGATTCTAGGGTTCTATAATGGTTCTTTTTTTCCTATGAAGAACATTGGGTATAACAATACAACTAATTATGTTTTTGTAAGCATTTATAAGATCCTGAATCACCAACTCCGATGAGTTAAGAATCAGCATATGAATTATTCTAATTCATAAATTACAGTATCTGTTAATCAAACTGAAAATATTTCATCCAGTTAAACAGATTACCGTTTTGTTAGTGTGGCATGGATTTAGTAATTTAAACATAAATGCTTTTGTAAACAATTTTGCAAAATATCTCTATAATTCCATCTTGTCAGAACCTCCATGATTCATATAAATTCATTAATAAAACTCTTAGGTTTCTTTTTCTGAATGCAACCAAAGCTCATTTCACAAATTAAGAATAATACATTTGGTGTATGAAATTTGATCTATATGTATTCATTAGAACTTTGGTAGGGAGCCCCCTTTTGAACCACTCAAATGACCTCATATGTCTCCATTTATCATTATGTTGCAGCTTGTATAAGTGTTTTTATATTGAATACTAAGAAAAGAACTGATAATTTTGTTGCTTTTCTAGTACTGTACTTCGAATTCTGTATATCACTTTTGTGTGTATCATTCACTTAGTGCCATGACTAGATAATCTCATATCATTAATGATGGCTGGTAGTAAAACAATCACAAACCAACCAGCTCATTGATTTCAGTGGATTTAGGCATAGTGGGATCAAGAAGTACTTAAGTCTGTAATCCTTTAAGTAAGTTCCTAGGAGTAAATTCCACTGACTACAGTAGAGTTTATTTTCAAAGAAATATGCACAGGATTATTCCTTGGCCTTATCATGTCTAACAAAGATTAAACATGTCATATTTATGCCATTCTTAATTATAACTATTGAATGAAGCCATTGTGAAAAATAGCACTTATTCCTTTCAATTGCTTTACCAGAAAGTTCAGAAAGGCATTACTTTCCAGAGATAGAAACCAATGAAGTTGAACGACATCAGTTACATGTTCAGAATGCATTACAAAATCAAGTGCAATCACAAGCATCTCCCCGTGATAATAGTGAAAGAAATGAAGTCATAAGCAAACAACAGATGTGTAAGGAAATTTCATTTATAACATTATTTTTTGTTGTTGTCAATTGATTCACCAAACTGTCCTAAAACACTGCAGTAACATCACCTGCTTTTCCCTTCAGCTCAAATTGTTTCCTGTGAACTACGGTTAAGAGACCAGTGCAAAGGAACAACATGTAATAGGTAAGGTATTTCATGGTTATCCATCAATTCTGGTATTGTGTGTATTTTATCTAAAAATCAAATTTATTTTCTACTATTCTCAAATTGTGTTTTTTTTAATTCTTTAGGTATGAATGTCCTTCTGGATGTTTGGACAGCAGCGCCAAAGTTGTGGGAAGTGTCTATTATGACATGGTACAGATATTGTAATTCATAGCATTTTGCTTTGTAATTTACTAGGAAATTTAACTAATGTGTTACCCTTGACAAAGTGTTTGCTCAGTAAAATGGCATCAAATTGTTAATTTTGGCAGCAATTTGAGGTTCTCTTATCTTTATTAGTTTTTATTCAATGTATTGAAAACCTGGGCACTAAATGTCTAAAATAATCCATGCATAGAATCATACTGGAATATTGATTTTTACATAATTTGTTAACTCACCTCTCTCAATATGGAATTAATGGTGAACCTTTCATGCTTCCAAATTTAATAAAACACAAAATATTATTTCTACGGTAATAGAAGAATGTATAAAAATAATGGTTTGATTGAACTTAATTTCTGTTTCTGTTTTTCTTTTCTTCCTAGCAATCAAGCATCTGTAGAGCTGCAATACATTATGGTATCCTAGACAATGATGGTGGCTGGGTTGATGTTACCAGACTAGGAAGAAGAAATTACTTCATAAAGTCCCAAAGAAATGGAGTCCAGTCAGTTGGGTAAATAAAAATGAAATATTCCCTCACAAATTGGTTCTCAAGTTTTCAATATAATATAAACAAATCTAGGGAATTGTTTATAAATAATTATAAAACATGTACTATTATATATCTTCAGAAGTGGTCATTAATGAATGCTGTATTGCATGATGTTATAAGAACTATGAAAGCTTGTCTGAAGTCATCTCCATTAGTTCTCTAAGGATCTTTCTATTAACTGCATTATTTCTACTAGTCTTTATAATCTGTTTGTGATTTGTTAGATTAAGGTATTTTAATTATGTATTTGAGTTAGTTGACCGTGTAAGATATTGTTACTCGATTATGCAGAATGTTTTGAGTCCATTTAGAAAGACAGATTTAATTCATACTAAATAAATGCAGCTCCCACAGATCCACTTTTGAAACCCTATCAGCACAGTAAGATCATGCTCTCAGCAGTATAATTTTTGTTCCCCCATCTCTAGAAATTAAGGGAGCTAAGTCTTTATGCATGCTTCTGAATTTACAATCCCCCCAAAAGCAAACATTTCATTTATCCTAGGCCAACAGAAATTACACTTTCCTGATGTAGGCTACAAATGGCCAAAATATAATCCTTAAGAGCATTTCCAATGGTTTTCATCATTTATTACCCAATTAATATGATGATCTGGGTAGTACAATATGGACCACTGGCTTTCTTTCTCAATTAAACCAAACAGTATAGTATCTGCTGTCTAGCTGATTAACTGATGAGATGACTTGAAAGGACCAAGTCAATCTTTGATAAATGCAATTAATTGTAGGGAACCAATGACTTAAACTGCTACTTGGATTGATTTACTGTTGATT